CTTCAGCCACGTCAGTGGCAACAGCACGAGCCGGAAGATCCTGCGCTTCGTGGACAAGATCGCCAAGTCCAAGTACTTCCAGAGGGCCACTGAAAACGAGTTCATCAAGAAGAAGATCGAGGAGGTTTCCAACACACCGCTGCTGCTGACGGTGGAGGTGCAGGAGCTGGCAGGAACCTTGGCTGTGAACATCCCACCGCCACCGACGGACCGTGTCTGGTACCAGCTCCCCTTCCTCCCATGCAGGGACATAGACCCATCCTCCTCCCAGCTCCCCATGGCTTGGCCAAGGACCCATCTCTGGGGGTTTGGGTTCATCCAGGGTGCCAGAAAGCACCCAGAGGGTCTCACAGACCTCACACTCATTAATCCCAGGATCTGGGGACCCAGAGCTCCCACTGCAACCCAGCCACCTCCTCCCAGGAGGCAGGTCCCTACAGCCCAACAGCAAGGCCACATGGGCTGGACCACATAGGACATGATGCTTTCTGCCTCTTCCCTTCCCCTCGCAGGTACAGCTTCCGAGTGCCGCCGCAGCTGGAGCTGAAGGTGCGCCCCAAGCTGGGCGAGCGGGAGGTGACGTTCCTCCACGTCATTGAGTGGATCGAGAAGAAGCTGCAGCACGAGCTGGTTTGTTCCAGGGCTCAGCAAACCCAGCTGAAGCGTCATTGCTGCCATCAGGGGTAATCAGACCTCAGTTTGGGCCAGGGTTATCCCAAAGAGAACACCAACATTTGATCCGGTCTGTCCGGCTTCGGACAGTCAAGAACAACCCAAGGAGAAGCAGCTCCAAGAGCTGGCGCTCTGAGCCCTGGAGTGCTTGAGGAAAAGTGGTTTCCTCCCATCATATGCAGCCCTGCTGCAAGCTGGAGGATTAGGAAAGTTAGCAGGTCCCAGGCAGCCACCCTCAGAAGGGCCGAATTCCCACATCCGCTCTGGTTTTGGGATGTCTGGGAGATTTACCAGCATAAAGTACCCTCTGGTTTGTTTCCAGCCTCTCATCTTTAAGAGCAGAAACGTCTCCACGGGTATTTAGGTACCCAAATCCCCCCAGAGAGCTGCCCATCCAAGTGGCTCCAAAGAGCTGGTCCCTGCCCCTCTGCCCTGACCACTCTTGAAGCATTCCAAACCACTGACTTCTTGTTCTGGCTTCCTCTTTGCAGAAAATCTTGGTGATGCCAAACATGGACGATCTCATCATTCCCATCATGAGCTCTGGCCTGGATCCTCAGCCACCCATGGGGGCACTGCCCAGGGACCCAGGGGCAGGGCAGAGCCACTGCACAGAGCACAGGGACCTTGCTGGGACACGGGGCCAAGCAGGACCTGGGCTCTGACTGCAGCCAGTGCCGTGGGGGCTGAGCTTCTCGGTTCATCTCATCCTCAGCACTTCTGTAGATGAGCCTCCTCCTTAAATACTGCAACAAGCACACGTTCAGAGCGGAACCAGACACAGGGCAAGGGGTTTGCTGGAGACACAAGACCTTCATGCACCTCCTACCAGGTTCTCCCAGCTCTGGAGCTGAGCTTTCCACTGTCTGGTTCCCAGAGAGGGTGCAGGACACCCAGACCGGTTCTGCACTGAAGGAGTTGGGATCAGCGCTGATCCAAGACATCACAGCTCCACAACACATCCCACCCTCCCCGCAGGCAGCTGGACTGCAAGGAAAACAGGGGTGAGAAATGAGTCCAAAGCTGAATAAATCCATCACTGCCCAGTCTTACCTAGCAGGAATCTTATTCTTCCCACAGTTGCTGCAGATGGACTCAGGATCGTGGGGCTTTCCTCAGGGACAAGTCCATGGTCATGCTTCAGCTCAGCAGAAGAAGTGCTTGGGGGGGTTGTGTGAGAGGTGGAGAGGGGAGAGATGGTCAGTGAGAGGCAGGCCACGGGGAGGCCCCGTATTCCCAGTGGAAACTGGAGCAGGAGTGCCAGTACCTGCCCTGCTCTCCTCCGGAAGGGGAGTTCGCTGTGGTTTGGGTGAATGCAGGCAGAGGGAAAAGAATTCCCTGGGCAAAGGAAAGGGAGGATCCAGAGGACAGAGCAGGCATTCGGCTGTCCCAGTTAGTCCCTGTCTATATGGGCCAGTCCCAAGTGCTACTTGTCCCAGGAGCCTTGAGGACACGCTCAGCACTGAACACAGGCAAGACACCCCTCCAGAAGGAAGCCAGGGAACAGACATGGCTTGAAGCCCCTTTATTGAAGTGCCCAAAGTTAGGTTGCCTTGTGCATCTCCATCCTCACACCTCTTCCTGCCCACTTGGCTTTGCTTTCACCAAGTGCTTCTTCTGAGGGCCCTGGAAGAGAGCAGAGAGGAGAGCTCTTGGTGTTAGTGGCAGACAAACCTGGTTTGTGAGGCTGCATCTGAGCTGCAGGGAGCAGAAATGCAGCTCTGGCCCCTTTCTGCTGTGTAAGGCTGCTCCTGGTCTCTGCTCCCCACTGGGAGCTCTGTGCCTCCATTCACCAGCCATCCCTGGGACTCCCTATCCCTGCAGGAGCGGGGAGCACGCCTCTACTTCCAGCCACAGTATCCATGTGGGAAACTTTCACCTCACAGTAGAAAATGGCAAAGAAACCAGCTACAACCAGGTAGAGCCACCTCCTGTCACTAAAATCTATGTCACAGCCACTCAGGGCTTGCAGTGACAGCAAAAGCAGAACACGGAACAAGCTCCTAACACTGGGATAAAGGAAATCAGCTTAACCTCTAAAGAGCTCTGCAAAGGCACTGCAGAGCCAACCCCCTTCCCAGGGCTAAGCAGGCTTAGGCAGTTTCACATGGGATTTCTAGCTGCCAGGCCACATCCAGACACAGTTCATGGCTGTGTGGTACCCAGGCAGTTGTTTCTGCTAGCTGAAGGCCTGGCTTACTTAACACTTCCTCCGTGTCACATACAGGCTTATGCACCAGCCTGGTGCAGGTTGCAAAACAGTTCAAGAAACTCTGCTTGGTTTGGAATTATTTAGATGGGGTTTTTTTGCCTCTGGATTGAAGAAAAATACCCTTTTTGGCCTTTCTAAAAGCTTCCTGACAAAAGAATCACTGATTTGTGTCTGAATTTGACCCTCTTAAGAACATGAACATCATAAATCACTCCAAACAAATCAAAGACGTGCACAATTGTGGGTGAAAGGGACCATATGTCCAGCGTGGTGCCTGCCAAGTGAACTGCTTGTCTAAAACATCCCATGGTGAATGGGAACTGCTTGGCCATATGGTGCATTATTTGCTGGTTGGGTTGTCTTGGATCACTCACACAACCATCATGTTCTTCCTTAGCATCATATCTGCTGTGTGAATTGAATTCTTTCCTGTCTTCTATGCAAGACAGGCCTGGCCACTGGTTTGGCTGTTGTTCTATGGAGACACAGCTGCCTGGTTGGAGCTCATCAGTTGCTTTCACCCAGCTGCAAGCAGGGCCTAGGAGCTGGAGCAGAGTGTAACTCACCATGAAAGCCCGTTTCTCCTGAGCTGTCTGGAATCGTCCGTGGCCAAACTTGGAAGTGGTGTCAATGAATTTGAGTTCAATGGCTTCCTGACAGCGGCGGCTTGTCTGCACCAGAAGGGACTGGAAAAGAAGAGCCACAACGCATCAGGATGGCTGCTACAGACAGTCTGGACATGTGCTCTGATGGAAGCAGGGTTGAGATGTCCTGGGTGCCTCCATCAGACAAGTATCTCCATGAAAACCTGCCTTCTCAGAGAACCCCCGTGGTGCTCAGGTGATGCCTCATCTTGCAGAGCAGCTCTGAAATGAGCCTGCTCTTCACTTAGCATTTCATTTCCTCATAATCTGCTTAACTCCAAGGTTTCCATTGCTGGGCCCTGCATCGTGGCCCTAAAAAGCTGCTGTCTCCAGAGAGGGTGCCTCCCTCTAGCTGTGAACGGTCTCACCGAGCACCACACCATGTGCCCTCAGCAGCACAGAGCCAAGGACCTCATCAGTCTTCTCTGTCGTTCTCCACATGGGGAATGAGCTCGTGGAGAGCTGCAGACTGTGCCCCCAGCAGGGGCTGTGCTCTCACCTTGCGGAGGGTGAGCACACGCTTCTTGGTGCCCATGACGCAGCCCTTCAGCATGAGGAAGTCGTTGTTGACCTCTCCATAGTGAGGAAAACCACCCTGTGGGGAGAGGCAGAGGGAGGGTTGACAGGCAGGAGAGCTGGGTATGGAGACATGCCCCAGGGTGGCATTTGCTAGGGGAATAGGCAGTGATTGAGAGTCCTTCCAGCTAAACAACACTCTGCACCCATCAGGCTGCCTGCTTAGGGCCACCAGAGCACGTCACACTGCACGATCCCAGCTAAGGGGCACCCCATGAGAGCTGGGGAAGCAGTAACCCTGCCTCCTTCCCTGGGGGATGTGGGTGACCAGGGAGCAGAGCTGGCTGGAGCCCCAAGTTGACGGTTTTAATAAGCAAAAGTGAACTTTTAAACCAAGTTACAAACATTTATCTGTTAAGTATCCGACTTTTAGTGTAATTTATACTTCTTTTTCTATTTAAACAAAGTTCTCAGTTCCTTCCCAAGTTATCAGCTGGAAGTTAAATGTTTGGGTGTACCAATGGGCCTAAAAAAACACCTCACAGAGATGGTTTCCATGCCCAAAACATGAGGAGAGAAATCACTGCATTTCTTTCAGTGAATCTCCTTCAAATCATTTCCTATGCAGCTGTCTCCAGCCATGGAATGACTTCCCTGGCTCGGATTCCTGCAGCCAGGATCAGTCACAGCCCTGGTACCACCTCGGCCCTTACCATAGGAGTAATGGTCTTCTCCGTGAGATCGTAGTGTGTTGAGGCATTGTTCTTCACCACTTTGCCATCCTCCACGTGGACCCCATGGCCAACGCGGTAAATCTAGGAACAGAAAGGAAATGGAGATGGTGACTTTCCTGTCCCCTCACTCAGGGATGCCACAGGGATGACACAGATTTCACCAAGATGTGCCTTGAGCAGGGAAAAGACACCAGGAAAAACGTGGAGAACAGCAGCGCTGCGGCTCTCCAGGGAGACATCGGAGATGCTTTGGGGAGCAGAGGACACCCTGCAAAGGAGGATGTGACAGCATGGGGGGGAGGAGGGTGCTCTGAGGGAGCCCATCAGGGCCGTACCTTCTTGTTGAGCTCCGTGCGGTGGTGGTAGCCCTTCTGGCCAGCCCGAGCAATGGAGTAGCCAACGCGGGACGGGTGCCAGGCTCCGATGCAGGCGACTTTGCGCAAGCCCTTGTGCGTCTTCCTGGGGAGCTTCTTGGTGTGCCAACGGCTTGTGACCCCTGGAAGTGTGACCAGACAGGGCGGTGAGAGCACCGGGGAGGCGCGGAGCTCGTGCTGGAGCGCTGGGCAGGGGAGAGGCCCGTCGTTCTTCTGCAGTTCTCAGAAGACACCAAGTTGGAGGGAGACCAAGAGCTGTCACCACCGCGAGAGGCAGGAGCACAGAACTGTTCTCACCTCCCATGGATCCGCTCAGCCTGTGATCTCCGCTCGCTGAGCACAGGCAGTGCCACCACAGAAACACCCACACCTCCACACACGTGGGGTCTGTGAGAAGCTCAATGGCTTTGTGTACTCACGGTGCCTCCGAGGCTCCTGCGAGGGCTCTGGGCACAGCAGACAACATGGGCTTTACTGAGGTTAAAGAACCCAAGCCCTGCTACAGTGGAACTTGGCCTTTGTTACTCCTTATGCAATAAGCCTGTGGGTTCTCTAACACTCCCCTACCCCAACGCTGCCTTATGGACAGTGTCAGAGGAGAAGGACAGCACCAAGCCCCTGGCAAAGGTCTCTTTGCTCTGTACCTTTCATCCCGTGCCCCTTGGTCACGCCAATGACATCGATTATCTCGTTCTGGCTGAAGACGCTGTGCACAGAGACCTGCTTCTCCAGCCTCTCCCCAAAAAAAACAGCCACTGTCCCACCATTCAGCTGGATCTCCATCACATGGGCCTTCTTCTGCCGCAGCGGGAGCAGCTTCATCTGCATTACACAGTGCACTGAGGCAGAATGTTGTCCCTTGCCCCATAGGCATGAAGAGGGAAGCAGGGCTGTGTCACACGTGAGTTGCGAGGGGCACAGGGGCTGAGCAGAGCTCTTCACCACCCCTCTCCACCACACTGGCAACTCCTTTCAGAACAGCCAGCGCCGTGGCTCACCATGTCTACATCTCTGGGTCCTCCTGGAGCCAGCTCCTTATGCTCGAGCCCAACCAGCCTATCTCCCATGCTCCCAATTCCAGGCAGGAGCTGACGCACACCCGCTCTCCAGGGAGCACAGGAAGAGGCCAGCCTTATCCTACCCCAGGAGTTAAGCACAGTGGTAACAGCCCTTGCGAATGCCTCG